GAGCACAACAATTGCGTTTTTTTGTTGATGCACTATATGTAATGTTGGAGCACAATAGATATTGGGATAGATTTATTAATACATAACTTATTCTAAAAAAGGCAGGAGATATTCATCGGAAAACAAACAGATCATCTATATTAATTTATATATAGATATGTTGGAGCATTATAAATATGTTGGAGCACAATAAATATTGAGATGTCTCCTCACTTTATTACTGCAATATTTACATACCGTACGCTCAGAAAGGCTAAAGTTATTCCTCGGAAAACAAAAATGATATAAAAAACCATCTATATTAATTTACCTGTGCGCGTGTTGGTATTGATTGCCTATTGTACACTAACTATTGCGACAGTTGAATGATCACTCGTTTTTGCTCCAGCCAGCATAAGCTGCTTTAAATAGGCTTCTTAGTCAACCTAGGCCTATGTGGAGAGTCAAAAGTTGAATTTTTTGGAATTGACCAAGATTTCGTGAAGCACTTAAGATTTTTTATTTTTTTCATAATATGAAGACTCAACAATGGATGTATAACTTCGTAATAATTGAAGTGCTTTTGGTTTTTGTTTTAAGACAAGGTAAGATAACGTATTAGAATATAACATAGATTTGTAAATTCCATTTGAATGTAACTATTTTTTGGCGTAGGCCTCCTTAACGAGTGACTTCAAGAAAATTATTAGACTACTATATACAGAAATACTACTTTATACATTCACGGTACTATATATATATGATATTATGAGGAAAATTATGATTTTAATAGTACAACAATTACTTGTTTATTTATTTAATATTTTACGTTAGGTTGTTTGGGAACACCGTTTAAACAAGCTCTTTGAGTTTCTATGTTGTTTCCTGTTCATTCATTTCCAATTTTCTGTTATTTTAATTGCAGGCATATTTTATGTTTCCAGAATGAATAAAATTATTTTGAATTTGAATTATGCTATACGATGTTTTACATTTTTACTTTCGTAGACCTATACATAATTATTTGGCCTTTATTTGTTATATGAATGATAACATAATATGAGGGCCTATTTGAGTCAACGTGTTATGAAAGCATCTTCTCGAAATATTGTTGAATTATTAAATACATACTTGCCACTGCGGAGGAACTAGTGTTTCTCTAACTGTATACATTTTATTTTAGCCTTTGCTTATCAATTGTGCATAGCAACCATAATCCAGCCTCGTTTTCAGCAGCATCTAATTTTCATCCTGTTGAATTAAAATTTGTATATAGCCTACCTTTGAAGGATAGGGAGCATATCTTGTTCGGGCTTTCGCCCAATCCATATCTAGGCAATACATGTTATTTCTGTATACTTTTGACAAATAAATATTATTATTATTATTATTATTATTATTATTATTATTATTATTATTATCATCATCATCATCATCATCATTATTATTATTATAATTATTATCATCATCATCATCATCATCATCATTATTATTATTATTATATTATTATTGACAAATAAATATTATTATTATTATTATTATTATCATTATTATCATTATCATTATTATTAGTATTATTATTATTATTATTATTATTATTATTATTATTATTATTATTATTATTATTATTTCTGGTATGTATATACATTATATACAAGTCTTGCAGTAATGCTTTATGTGTATAGAGGCCTAAACGGAGGAATCTGTGAGTGTAACAAAAATTCTCAATCTCCTACAGAGAGGTCGCAGGTTCAAGTCCCGTCGGAGGCATTTTATTACACCATTTCTTTATTCATTTATTTATAGAACTACATTCGATGGTTTATATATAATTTAACAGTGTTAACGGCAAACTTGATTTATATTATATGCAATTATTTGTTTCTAGTCGTATTTTTGTGTAATAGTATGTATCTGGCGGTATTTGAATCTGTTCAACCATGAAGTTTCTGTGGTCTAATGGTTATGACGCTCGCCTTGAAAGCAAGCGGTCGCAGGTTGAAGTCCGTTGGAGGCATTTTATTACAGTTTCTTTATTCATTTATTTAGGACTACATTCATTGAGAGCTATGCTACACGATGTATTTATTCGAACACTGTATTTACCTTTCTTTGATGATGATGATGATGA